GCGCCGGATGGCGAGCATTTTGCCCGCTGGTGGCGAGCATTTTGCCCGCTTGTTTCGCCGGCGAACGGGCGGAGGTGCTACTCCGCGCAGCGAGCCCGCGCTACAGGCCGATGTTTCAGACGCGCGAGCGGGCTGGGGATTTCGTCGAGCGCCGCGGCGCCCTGCGCGCGGAGTTGAATAATTTGCGCGACGGGGCCGTTCGCCCACGTCGCGTTCGCGGAGGTCCATTTCTTCGCGTTCGACAGAAGCAGAGCCTTCAGGGCCATCGTCGTCCAAGTCCACGACCTCGCCCAGACGTCGCCGCGCTGGGCGCGCGAGTGCATATGAGGGGCGAATGGGCCCAAGCGCATTCTCCAAGTTTTCGCTTATGATGACGCTCGCGAAGTCACGTGCGCCGAGCCCGCCAGGGAGGGCACTTCGCATTCGACCCGATGATCGCGAATCTTCAGCTCTCGCAGCCAGGACAGATCCAGGGCGTTCTGGAACGCTTCTGGAAGGCGCGGGGGACCTGCACTGAGGGCCAAAATGCCCCGCGTTCCTGACGCCGCTGCCTGCCAAGCGTCTGCTTTTTCTGCCCCGCCGCTCTCTGGGGCGAGGCGCTGTCGCGCCTCGCCCCCTCCTGCCCCCCGCCCGCCAAATCACCCCGGTCGGAGCGCAGAGAACTTGCCGGGGCCTGGGGATCCAGCCCAGGCCTTCACGGCCACTCCCTCCTCCCCCCCCCGGCCTCTGATGCTGTCGACATAGAGGTCGCGATTCTCCGTGGGCCTCCTCGTGCTGATCAGAATCATCAACTAAGGGAAACATCAGAGGGTTCCCGTTCTCCTTGGGCAGCAGGGCGTTGTCTGCATTCAGGAATCTCACGGGGCGCCTGGGGGTCTCTCAGGATCGCGCAGTTTTCGCATTGTCTTGTCCTCTGTCGAGCGCCTGCGGCATCCTCGTCTTTCTCCACGGGCAGTTGGCAGACGAAGAAATCACCGACGCCGTTTCTGACCAGACTGCACGTAGCAGGATTGGTTGTTTCTCGTTTCGGGGCCCCAGAGGTAGCGCGCAGGCATTTTGAACTCACGCGGGCCACGACCTCCTAGGCCCCGTTGTGAGGGGCCAGTTTGGACTGATTCGTGGCGCGATGTCTCCCGCTGCATCGCCATCCGCCTTCCTTTGGGGAGATTTCACACGCCGCGAAGTAAGGAATGACGTATGGATGCGACCGCGGGAGAGAGGAGGGATACACGCGCGCGAGACTGCCAGTGCTTCAAGTTTCCTTTCCCGAGCATGCCCGGCTCGCGCGGGACTCGTTCGCGCACTGCAGTGTTGTCGCCCGCCCCCCCCCCCCCCCCCTCCGCGCCGCGCGCCCGCCGGGGCAAGATGTGCGCATTCGCGCCCGCTGCTGGTGTCCTGATGGCGCACCGTCTAGCGGCGCTGCCTGGAGCATCGCAGACGCGACCGCCTCTTTCGATCATGTGCCAGCCCTCTTTTCATTTGAAACCCGCGCGGTCTGCCCAGTGCGAGCTTCTCCCGCCGACCTGGATGCTCAATGGGCGAGAATTCGCCATGCGTTTTGCTCCCCTTGCTGAAGGGCAAGAGCAATGCAGCGACCCGCCCACTCGACTTAGGGGGCTTGGAGAGATGACGACTGCCGCCGCCCAACAATGCCGAGCGCGACATTGCCCACTCGAATGCCGAGACGAACCCCGACAATATCGCCTGTTGCCTCAAACCTGTCTGCGCTCATCGCCCCCGGCTTCGAGGCGTCGGCGGCGGGGTGCCTCGCGCGCGCCCCGCCGGCGCCTCGCGCTTCGATCGGGGGCTCGTGGGGTAGACGGACCGCGCGGCGTTGAGCCGTTATTGAAGCTGGCTGAGCTTGCCACCCAGAGCGTGCCTGGCGCGAGGCTGGTCGGCATAATGCTTCCTCGTCGATTGAGTTCCTAGGTCAGCTCGCGCATGGAAATGGAGTCAGAGGGCAACGGCGCTCACTGGCGTCATCGGCCCCGACGGAGCCACCTTTCCCACTGCGACCCCGCGCCCTGCGCGGAACGCCTGGCTGAACGCTGGGGGCGGGTTTCCACGTTGGGATCCGAGGGCCATGCCGGTGGGGCCGCGTTCCTGGGCCCCGCCCCCCCTCCCCCCCCCGCCGCCGCCGCCGCCCGACCTTCGCCAACTCGCCAACTCCACCCACCAGAGGTTCCCCTAGGTTCAGTACCATGGATCAGTTTCTGGACCCTTGAACAGGAACATCGGTTCCTCCCCAGGACTCGATGGCGTGCGCTACAGCGCTTGGAGAGCTACTGGGCCCGTCGCGCATGAAGCTCGTTTCGTGGTGCATGGTCATCTTATGGCGGGACCGCCAATGTCGACTGGATTGAGAGCTGCCAAGATCGCCGCGCCCCCGACAGGCGACGCCCCGAACCCCGTTGGCGCGGCTCAAGAGCTTGAGAATGCCAGTCCTTTTGCGTTACCAAACGCCGACCGCAGATTTATCGCCCCCCCGGCGGTCGGCCTGATCTCCGAAGTTTGCCCAGAAAAATCATACCCCACCCAGCGTGGCTCTGCGAGGAAGGGGGGAAATTGGGAAACAGCGCGCTCGAAATCGACATTAATCTTGCCTTGTGGAGCACTGTGCTGTGGCAAGGCCGCGTTCCCCGCGGTCTGCCACTCCTGAATAGATGCCGCCACGGAGGCCTTCAGCATCCCCGGGTGAGTTCATGATCGCAGCTATTCACCTGCTCAATTCCAACCTCCTCGCCCGCGCGTTCGATCCGCCGCTCGGACTTCTGGCCGGCGCCCCTTTGTCGCCGCCGAAGCAGGCGCGCGCCATCTCGGATCATTCGGGGCGGCTGCAGCCAATGTCTTCCAGTCATTGAGGCCGGTCGTCGACCGATTTGCAAGATTAGGCGCCCTTCGGGCTTACTGCTCTCCCTCGGCAAGTGCGTCATTGTGCTGACTTCCGAGCGCCCTCATTGGAATGCCGCCTCCGAGTTCTAGAGATGTGGGGTCAACGTCTCCAGTTTCAGAATTCAGGCGAGGGGCAAGTCTCCTCGGGTCGCGCTGGGCCTCGGTTGGCCCCGCTCATCTTGGGCCCTGGTTGCGGACGAGGTGATCGAGCGAGCGCGCCGCGCCAAGTAAATGGGCGCTGGGCTTTGCGCGAGTGTCACAGCACGCAACAGGCATTCACTTTCCGCTGCCAGCCTTATTAGCACGGGATCCAGGCCGAACCGGGGCATCCTGAAAGCTGAGGCGGAGGCTCACCATGCGCGCGCTTGCTCGCCGACGCACGCTTTCCCACCGAGCCTGCTCGACCGAGTGTAGGACTTCGGCCTGCTCGTCCAGACGCTGGATCTAGCTATCTCTGCCCGCGCGGCCAAATTACGGTTGGCCGTCACATGTGTTTGTTTTCTTTCGCTCGCAGGCATGATTGAGAGTGCGCTCGAGAGTGGCGAATATGTGCTCTCATGCAACCATCAAGGTTTCACGCTGACTCGCCCTCCGAGCATGTATATCATGAGTACAAAACCCCCCATGTAGATTCTTCGTCTCCGTCCAGGTATACACAATAATGTTCTGGGGAAGCCCGTGCATATCATTTCACAAGGCGCCATCTCCCAGCCTGTCTATGGAATGTTGCTGCCGCGGATACGATGATGGTTTCCGCGGGTCTCGCTTGTCCAGAATGGTCGGGACGCTCTGGTGCTGGCAAAATGTCGCGCCCCTGTTTCCCGCTACTGCTTTAATCGCGTACTTTCCTGACGGTGTTCCGAAGGTGGAACACTACAAAGAGATGCCGCCAGAGGCCCTATTGGCGCCAGTTTGGATGCAAGTGCGTCGTCGGCGACGACCTTCTCCACTATTTTTCCTGCGTCGTCGTGCTCCCTGTCGTCCGTCACTATCTGCCTCGACTCCTTGCGGGTTGGGGAGGCGAGTCATTGAGCTCGACCACTCCCCACCGTGCCCCCCTGGACTCCCAGGCCCTGTCCAGTTCCTTGCTTGCCAGTGATATCGTGCGCCCGACGCTTCCGATCATGAGTTTTTCTGTCATCCTGCCGCCCCCACCAGTGCACAATACAGGTGGCTGAGGGTCGGTTGCGCGCCGTCACCAGGAGCTCGCCCGCCATCCATCGCCTGGTTCGTCGGCGACCTGCTGCGCCTCCAGGGGTGGGTGTCCCACCTGCTCCCCATCCTCCCGTATCATCCAGACCCCCCCGTGTGGGGGTGAGCGAAATTGGAATTTGAAACCACGCTGGATCGGCATGCGTGTCCCATTCAATCATCATGCCCCGCATCGCCTTCGGTTCTTCCCTCCCCATCAGCGCCCTCGCTCCCTCATGGCCCGTCTCCTTCACGCATTCCCAATCCAAGTCCCCCTTCGCCGCTGCGGGCGTCCTGTCGGTCTGTCGCGTCGTTGTCACCGTCTCGGCCGCCGCTGTCGTTGTCGCCGCCTGTGGTTTTTTTGTTTTCTCTGCCTGGCTCTCGCGCCCTTTTGTGGGCGCCCGCCGCCCCAAATTACATAATCCCAGAAACCCTCCCCCACGCGCCCCTCCCCTTCTTCTTCCTCCAGCTCCGCACCCCAGCGTGGCACTGTCGGCCCCGCGGGTGGCCTCCAATTCTGGGTGGCTCAGCTGGCCCAGTGCCCAGCGGGGGCGCTTCGTATTTGGAATGCGTTTTATCGCCAGGTCCTTCGATGCAGGGTCCCGCGAAGGAGTGCGTGAGGGGCCGATCTTCAATGCGAGGTCCACCCCGTCGGTTTCGGGCGTCAAAATGCGGGCTGGTCTTCGAGTGCGGGCCCAGCTGGGGCTCAGAATGCCAGGCTATGCAGTCCCAGTGTGCGGTCGTGAGGAGTCAACATTTACCGCGTCGTCCCATGGCAACGCGGGTCCATTCCAGGCGCTTGGTTGTTCAAAGGGCATCACGTTCACGTTAGCACCGTCCAACCCCATTCGTTTACCGCCCCTGTCTTCCTTCTTTCGCTGCTCCACCTCTCCCTCTTGGCTCCTTGCCGCCGCGAGGTGCTCACGTTCGACGAGAGGGCCAACATCGACGAGGTGCAAGACGACAGCGAGGCCCCGGGATAGCCGATGCTCAGGCGGTCGGCAGGAGGAGCACGAGGAGGTTGATAGAGGACGTGGGGCAGCGAGAAGTTGAGCCAAGCAGGATGAGGAGACCTCCCTTCTCCTCTCCCTCGTCGCCCTCCCTACATACATTCATTTCTCCTCCCTCGGCTCCCCTGATGGGATGAGGAGGGGGCCACATAGTAAGGGATGGAGGGAAGACGGGGCATGGAGCAGGAACCGAGAACAAGAAACGAGGGAGGTAGAAACAGAAAGACAGTGCGAGAGAGAGGGAGGAGGGATGGACGAAGGGATAGGGGGAAACCTGAGTTCCGTGGAGGCTCCCGAAGGCTCCTAAAGGGCCAGACCTCCCTGATCTTCGGCCCTCGACGTGTTCTTTTTCCGAGCTTTTCTGGCCTTCCCTGTGGTCTCGGGCTCTTCTGCGGCCGCCATCGCCGTGCCTCCGCGGTCTCTTGGGCCTGCTGAGAGCCGACTTGGGGGGTGGATCGGCTCAGGTGCCGCGCATGGCTTTCAGCTTCAAGCACCTGAGCGAGGTGCAGGCGGGGAGGGGCGAGGAGGACGGAGGGAGGTATGAGGGGCGGGGGAGAAGGGAGAGGAGGGGAAAGGGGGGGAGGATGACGAGGAGGACGTGAATGACGAGGAGGACGAGCACGAGGAGGACGAGGAGAAATTGGAGGAGGATAAGGAGGAGGAGGAGGAGGAGGAGGAGGAGGAGGGGGAGGAGGAGGAGGAGGAGGAGGTGGTTGAGAGAGTAGGTCAGGTCACGACGGCGCAAGAGGGCGTCAAATCGACGTTCGCCGCAGAGGGGGAAGGGACCCCCGGGGAGGAGGAACGAGGAGGATGACGATGAGGTTCAGAGGAGGAGTTGCGTTGGAGGCAATGCGGATGATGAGGGTGCCAATGTGCCACGGAGGAGGTGGACGGACATGAGGGGTGGAGGCAAGGAGGAGGAACGGTAAGGGCAGCAGGAAGGGGGTGCTGAGGGGTGCTGACTATATCGCAGTCTGTTGACCGCGCTCGGCACACGGCCGCAGGGAACAGCCTGGGGGAACACACCCAGGCTGCGAGGCGGGTCCACCCGCCACACCAAAACCGCCCACCCCGAGGAGGGTGCCAGGCAGGCCCAAGGAGCCCGAGAGACCCCAGGAGCCCGACCAGGGAACCAGAAGGGGCGGCCCCAAGACCCTCGCAGCCTAGATGACCCCCCCTGCCAGCCCCCTAGCTCTCAGTCGACCTCGGCCTCCGAGAGCGTCTGCATCAGGCCCTCGACGAACGCAGCATCGACGATGCCAGACTCAAGGAGCTCCAAGGCCTTCTCGATGATCTCGCTCTTCAAGCTGTCGTTGCAGTCGATGCCCTTCTGGTCGGCTTGGAAAGGCACATCGCTGGCGGTGCCGTTGTTACCCTTCTTGCCTTTCTTCTTCTTGCCCTTGTTCTGATTCCCAGGGCCTGCCACGCCCCGCAGCTTCACCATGCCGCCGTCGGCGTCGGCCGCATCACCAATGAAGAACTCCTTTGCGCCCTTCACGTGGATGCTGTCAAAACTGGGGCCAGGCTGGCCCTTTGCCTCGGTGCCGTTGTCCGCTATGGCCGCGCCACTAGGGAAGAGCTCCTCCACGCTCTTCTCGTCGCTGCAGCCCTGGCCTCCGAGCTCAGCGCAAGGAACGGGGAGGCCTCCAGCGTGATCTCCTGACGGGCCTGGCATGCCTTCTCCGCGCTGGTGGTTGGAGCTTAGGCTGGCTTCTCCGTCAAGTTGCGGCGCGCCCGCATGAGCTTCACCTCGAAGAGCTTCCGAGCGAGGCGTCGCTTCGCCTCCGCCGTGTGGAGCCCAGGGACCTGCTGGTGCACCACCTTGACCTTCGCCTTCTCGCGCCTCTTCTTGCTGAGGCGCTTCTTCTTGATGCCCGCGCCCTGGCGGGTCTCCGGCGGCGCTGCCTGGCACGGAATCGGCCGCGCCTGGCAGGGTACCGGTTGCTTCTCCTTCTCCTGGACGTTGGCGGTGCCCTTGCACACCTTCCGCCCCAGCATGTGCCTCGCCTTGTCCACGCACACAGAGGCCAGCCGCGGGGCCTTCACGATGTCGCCCGCTGCGGTCCACTTGCGCCAGCTCGTCGCCGCTGCCGAGGGCCGTGCCTTCGGGGACACCACCATCCTGTCGTCCTTGTTCTTGAGCGGCCCGTAGCTCAGGTCCGCCATCTCGACCTCCGTGACCTTGATGCGAATGGGCGGCCCGTAGCTGAGGTCCAGCTGGGGAGGCACCACCGTGGACTCCCTCGAAACCGTAGGCCTTGGCGTCGGCCCATAGCCCAGGCCAAGGTCCCTCAGGCTCTGCCCACGATGCTTCCCCTCCCTGTCCTTCGCCGCCCACGCCCTCGAGTCCGTGGAGTGCGGGCGGACACTCGCAGCCTTGGACATGGACATCCTGACACAGCACCACTTGCCAGTCCAGCGACCGCTCGGCGCCGTGCTCGATGTCCCTGAACAGCTTGCCAATTGCGCGGCCCACGTCGCCTCGCTCGGCGAGCCCGTGGCCCACGAAGATCTCAAGGGTCTTGGCCTCCAGCATCACCCACGCATGGCTCCCTCGCGCTGCGCCCCCTCCACGTGCGCGCGAGGATGGCCCCCTTGGGCCAGAAGGGGCTAGGGCAGCAGGAAGGACATGGAAGGACGAGGAGGAGGAGGACGCGGGGTGGGCCGACGGGCCATGCAGGAGGAGGAGGAGAAGCAAGAGGAGGAGGAGGAGGAGTGCATGCGAACTAGAGGGGAGGACTCCGAGAGGCGAGGGGGCTCGGTTTCGTCTGATTGTTTCTTCTCCTGCCCTCCTCCACGGCGTGCTCTGGCTTTTGTCCTCGGAGTCTTCTTCTTGCTAAGCCTCCTGCTCCGCCCGATCATTCCCTCCTCAACTCTCCCTTCTCCGCCTATACACTTTGGCTGCGCACTGCAGGTAGCTGTGTGATACCATCTTGAAGAGCACGGCGTGGAGTAGGAGCAGGGAGGTAGGCAAGGAGCAGGGAGCGAGGAGGAGGAGGAGGAAGCTGCAGCGAGTCACTCTGGGCGCTCGCCAGCGTTGGTGGTGCCAGAGGCCAGATACTAGTACCAAAGGGCGTTGGTACATCTTGACGCGCTAGCGGGATCGATGTGGGAAATTGGTTTCCTCCTGCCGCAATCTGGCCGCCCACGTTGGCGCCCAGAACCTGGACGGAGTGAAGAATGGACTCAAGAAGTTCTTTCGATGGCCACGTTTTTGATTTAGTTTTGCGGCGTTGACGATTTTTTTCCCCTGTCTCCCTCGAAGGCGAAGTCCACGGCACAGCTGCAGCCAGGAGGGCCCCAGGGGGTACATGAGGCGTGGCCGCGAGGCGAAGGAAGAGGCAGGGAGGACGGCTAGAAAGTGGGAGGAGACGACGTGAGGACCGCGAGGCAGGTTGCCCTGATTTTAGTCCTGCCTCTCCTGGATCATGAAGGTCTCCAGTGAGCATCCCTCATCCTCGCTGGCTGGGGCCGCCCTCTCTGGGAATCGTGGCGGGGGTGGGGGCGTTCCCAGCCGCCTCAGAGATCTGATGCGCCCGGCCTGCGTTTTGACGATGTGCGTTGTGCGCACTCGGCGTTTCCGTTGTCAGGCGCGAGTCGGCATGGACTCACGTTCTCCTGAATCCCAGGGGTAGACCTACGGGGATTCCAAGGAGGAAAATAAAGTGGGTCGATGTGGCTAACGATGTGGCAGAACAGTAAGTGTAAACCAGATCGTGTGTTTGATGTTATTCCCGGAGAGGGCGCGGGGCAGTGTCAAGACCGTTCGATATGGCAGTTGAGTTGAGCCAGCCCTCCGCTTCCTCCTCCCATGTGTGCCCTTCCCACACGTCCCACATTCCGCTTCGTGCTCCTCTTCCTCCGCCTCCTCTCTCTGCCCTGTTGGTGCTCTTCCTTCTCCGCAGCCTCTCTCTCCTCGTTCGCGTCCTCCAACTCCGACGGGGATATAGCCAGGCTGCATGACCAAGTTGCAATGCTCATTTCTTTAAGTTCTGTCTGTCTCGCTCGCCCACGCTGTGCGTCCGTTCGGTTCGGGCCGCCTCCTGTTGCCAGAGAAAACCCGCTGTTGGAGCCCCTGTGTTTGGCTACCTGGTATTCGTTGATATGGTGTGGCTGCGCCTCGCGAAGGCGGTTCCTCCCTCGTTGTGCACGCACGGGTGAACATATATACAAATCTTGTTCGGCGAAGCCCCATTGTTGCAATGCAGCTCACTGGTTCCCAGGGAGGAAGTTTGCGCAAAGAGTGCGACTTGTCTTCCGCGTCCTTGTTCGTTTTTTTCTCCGCCTGATGTTCTGCCTCCTCCAGCCATGACCACCCGCGAGAGATCGGCGCGCGCGGGAGAGATCGCGCCCGCGCGGAGAGAGATGCGGAAAGGGAGAGAGAGGACGAATGAAGAATAGGGGAAGGGGATTGGAGGAGTAGGATGGGAAGCAGAAGGAGGAGAAACAGGAAGGGGGGAGGGGAGGAGAAGGCGGTGGAGGAAGGAGGCGCCTCCACCTACCGTCCTCGTTCTCGTGGTCCGTCCCGTCTTGCCCATACTCGTCCTCCGTCTTCTCGTCTTCTCGTGCTCCTTCTCGGCGTCCTCCACTTCATCGTTATATCATCATCAATCCCCTCCTTCTACTGGCTCGACGCTTCATCTACCGCCTTCTCATGTTTGCTCCTCCTTCGCCTCGTGTTCCTTCACATCCACCATCTCATCGCGCTGTTCCTCCCACGCGTCTTCATCCTCCTTGTGCTCATCACCATCGTCACTATCGTCATCCCCTTCCTCCCAGCGAACTCCTCCCCCGCAGGAAGCGACGGACAACGCGTACGTCGACCTTGCCGCGATCGTCTTCTGCATCCAGGACCACCGGGGTCCCGAGGACGAGCAGGTGCGTTCAGTCCTCCTTCCTGCCCCTCCTTAGCAGGGTCCATCCCGATCTTATCGATCGGGCTAGACATGAATTCTGGCCGGATCGACCCAGTTTCCAGTCGATATATGCTTGCATTCCGATCTGGATATTTGCATGGTGTTGGTGTGCGTCGTGGCGCAGCCTATCCGATTCGCTGTCGAATCCATGCCGCTGCAGCCTGTTCCGACGCACATTCGACTCCAATCAGGTGTCCCGTTTCTTGTTGCTTCCATGAGGTGTTTGAATGTATGGGTCCTTCTCGTACCCTCCCGCATCGTAAAAAAAGCAAGGTTCACCAAACAATGCTTTCACTGATGGGATCCTACTTGGCTCGAGGCTGGGTCCGCCGAGGTTCCGTCTGGTGGTCGCCTCATGGGCGCCTCAGGATGCCTCAGGGGCGTCCGTGCGCTGGCTGGGTTCGTTGAGGTTTCGCCTGGTGGGCGCCACGTAGGGCCCGCTGCAAATTGAACCACACCGCGTGCACACAGCTTGCATCACATAGATTGCAGCACATGGTTTATTCAACCTAGGTTTCACCGTTTTGCTTGTACCGCATGTTGCTTCAGGTAGCTTGCGCCACACATACTGTACCACTTATCTCGCACCACGTAGATTACACAGCCTCATAGATTTCATCACCAAACGTAAATTTTGAGAGTCTTCGGGCCCGTCAGAAATGACTCTTGTTGAAACTCCAGTGCTGGGGAAGGAGTCGAGACGTTAGATGGTCTTCATTCGGGGAAATCACGCAGTCGGGGGCTTGGGCTTCGGAGCATTTGGAAGCACCCAGGAAACATCGAAAACCCTCTGGGACCTTGTTGGAGGCCTCCGGAGAACTCGAAGTTGTGGCACTTCCCTGGGCACGGACGGGCCTGGTAAGTTCTCATGTTTGTGGTTCGCTGTCCTATTGCCAGCTCCGCAGAGAAGGATGAGCAGGATCAGAAGAGAAGGGGGGGGGCTCTTCCTTCCTCTCCCTGATCTTCCTGTCTCCTCCCCCTCGTCTCTCATCTCTTCTCTCTCTCTCCTCCTGGAGAGTGCGGGGGCGCGCTCGCGAGAAGGAGGAGGATGTGGAGGAGGGGTGGGGGAGAGGCGGAGGAGAACGACGACCACGAAGAGGGCGAGGACACCGCCCGCTGCGCCGCGAGGACTCGAACACCTTCAACTCCTCGAAGACCGGGAAAGAGTTGACGAAGAGGGAGGTGGCGCTGTGGGACATGTTTGTTGCCAGTGTTTGTATTCATGACATGTTGTCTTATCCTGTCAGGGTAATGGCAAGCAGCAGCGAGAGGCAGTGGCAGCGAGCGCGAGGGGCAATCAGGAGGCGTCATGTTCGTAGTGACAAAACGATACGCATCTTGGTCACACCCTTTTGCTCATCCACCTCCCCCCCTTCTCCTTACTTCTCTCCCTTCCACTCTCCCTGCTTACGTTTTCCCTCCTGAACCCAATATCCTCCATCCTCTCCTACATATATCACGTTCACTTGTGATATTGGTACACATGTATGTCTATAGGCAGCTGTACATATACGTGTATGTGTGTGCATGCGTGTATATGTGTATGCATGTATGTGTGTATGTATGTATGTATGCGTGTAGGTAACTAGGTATGTATGTATGGATGCGTGCGTGTTTGTATGTGTGTATGTATGTATGTATGTATGTGTGTGTATGCGTGCATACATGCATGCATGCATGCATGCATGTCTCTATGTATGTATGTACGGATGGATGTATGTCTGTATGTATGTATGCATGTGTGTATGTATGTACGTACGTATGTATGTATGTATATGTGTATGTGTGTATATGTGTATTTACGTATGTATGCATGCATGTATGTATGTATGTATGTAGATATGTAGGCATGGGTGTATGTATGTGTGTATACATTTATGTATGGCTGTCTGTATGTACGTATGTACGTATATATGTATATATGCATGTATGGATGTATGGCTGGATGTATGTATCTATGTATGTATGTATATATGTATGTATGTATGTATGTATGTATGTATATATGTATGTATGTATGTATGTATGTATGTATGTATGTATTAATTAGGTAGGTAGGTAGGTATGCATGTATGCGTGTATGTATGTATGGATGCATGCATGCATGCATGCATGTATGTATGGATGTATGTATGTATGTATGCATGTATGTATGTATGCATGTATGTACGTATGTATGTATATATGTGCGTATGTATGGGAATGCGTGCATGCTAATGTATATTCCGCGGCCACGGTTTCTCAAGCCAATCTTTGACCGTGAGAGAGGATGCTCACGGAGACATTCACTTGTCTCGTGTCGGTCGGCAACTTCTGCCTCCTTGCGAGCAATTGGTGGAGCCCGCCAGTGCAGCCTGCGCCAGCGTGCGGGTGCACCTGCCATTGCTCCGAAGGCAGCTCCTGGTGGCCCCCTGTACTCATCGGCATCCTGAGTGTGACCTCGCTCCTCGGGTTGGGCCCAAGGCTGTTGTGGCGGGCGCCGCCCGCGCAGTTGCAGGCGATCGATGTGAAGCAGCGGCGGGGCCAGATCACGGCCGGTCCGCCGACTACCGTCGGCTAGCCATGGCTCTGGCACGGCCGTGCGCGGGACAGCGCTACTGGGTGCTGTTTGACCGCGCCGAGGGGCTGTGGCACGAGCGTCTGTGCCTGTTCGAGTACGAGACGGGGATCATCGTTGCCACCCCTGACGGGGATATCTACGCTGAGGAGTACACGGACTACGAGGACCTGGCCCTCTCAGGGCCCCAGGGCGGCGTGCCTCGCCGCTTGTATCCGCGGCGGCGCTACCACTTCGACCCAGACGACCTGGACGAGGACAGCCAGCTGCGCGTGGACGCCGCCCGCCAGCTGGAGAGGCTGCTCGCGAGCGGCGAGTACCCGGCGGCGCCGCTCCCGCTTCCTGATGCGGGGGACGCGGCGGCGCTGGTGCCCGCCGAAGACGGGGCGGCGGCTGGCGCTGGCGGCGGCACGCCTACACCACGCAGCGGGCTACCGAAGGAGCTCGATGATGCGCCGCGTGGGACGACCTGGTACCAGCTCACTGACGGACTTGGCCAGCGCATGCATGACCAGGTGACGGTAGGGCTGAACGATCGGTGCATCACGGACGGGCGCTCTGGACTTCTCATCCGCGACGGCGAGACCGTGCCGGTGTCCGCGCTGCGGCCGCAGCGAGCTGGAGACGACGACGTGAGGACGCTGCCGGTGCAGTACAACCCGCGGGGGGAGAGGACGCGCTCGTTCCAGAGCGCGCGAGGCGCCTTCACCGAGGAGACCTTCGACGACTTCCCTGTCCGCGGCCCGCGGACGACCGGCTGGCTGATGGAGGCGTTCCACAAGAGTGGTCAGAGCCCCGTGGCCCGCCACCACTGGTGGAGACAGATGCTGGGCGCGACGACGGCGGATCCTGGGATAGACGACCACCTCTTCCTCTCGGAGTTGTTCGAGCTCGGCGGGCAGTACGACCAACTGAACTTGCCGAACAGTGCCGCCTTCGAGGCGATCGCCCGCCGCTACCAGCTGTGGGAGGAGAGGTACGCAGAGAAGTTGAAGCAGGTGACGGAGGGGCCAGGAGCCGCCGCCGGCGCGGCGGCAGAGCGGCACCTCTTCCTCGGGGTCGCGTCTGGCAGTGCCGCGCTGGCGGCGCCGAGCCTGGCCGAGTGCGCGGCTGAGAAGATGGAGCAGGAGAGCAAGATCTTGAAGGAGCGCCGCAAGGGGCGCGAGGAGCGCAACCTGGCCGCGCTGGCGTCTTCGGGCTCTGGCGGCGGCGGGGGCGGCGGCGCGGGAGGCGCAGCAGCCCTCGATGGCCAGGGCGGGAAGAAGAGGCCGCCCAAGAAGCAGAAGTCCGAGGAGGGCTAGCTGCTCGTGGGCATCCGCATCATCCGGTCGCCTTGCGCGTGACGCCCCATCGTGTGCGAGGCTAGTTTTTTGAGGGGGGCCATCGGCGGCCGCCATGGCTGTACAGTCACATCGCGATGTGTTCCCCCTTCCCTGCGCCCCTCCACCGCCTGGCCCGCGCTCCACAGGCCCTTCTGCTCGGTGGCTGCAGGAAGGGATTCGAGCGCTGAACTCGATCGGGGGTCGTGGTCAGACGACGCCAGCTCATCCGACGACAGTTTTGCAGGCTCACGCCTTGTCTCGTCTTGCTGGCATGTATGCCAGGATACCCGAGCCTCCGAGTGATTTGACCGTCCAGAGTGCCGTTAAGGCCACTTTGGGAACCGACCCTGGTTACGGTGAGGACCTGACCAGCGGGAGCCACGCACTTTACCAACGAGGCAAGGTATCCTTGCCTCGCGTCGCCACCGGGGTCACACGTCTCGAGGATGCGTTGCCGGCCTCGGATCGCTCTCTGTTGGTAGGGGAATCCACGGGACTTCTGACGGATGCCGCTTCTGCCGACAACTGTTTCGCAGGAAAGCTGGCCTTCGATCCCCGACTCGCGACGGGCAAGAAGGCCCACGGGCGATTTTTGAGTGATCTCCTGTCTCGTCAGATGCCGGAGGTCGGGGAGGCTACAAAGTTGGTCACCCCCTTTTTTGTCAGAAAAAAAGACGGTGCCTTGCGTCTCATATTCGACACGCGTGCAGCTAATACCTCGTTTCCCCCCCCCTCTGTATACCTCTCTTGCTGCTGCTCAGGCGCTCAGCTCGATTGAAATCCCGACTGGGGCTTCTCTGCACTGTGCCCAAGGGGACGTCACTTGCTGTTTTTATCAGTTTCTGCTGCCTGAGGATCTGCGAAGCTTTTTCGGGCTTCCTCCGGTGCATTGGTCCGACCTTCCCGTCCGGGTAAGACGCGCCCTGGGCCCGGCCGATCCCTCTGGGTTGGTCAGGTTCAGGCTCCGTGTTGTACCTATGGGTTGGTCGTGGGCAGTGTGCTTCGCCCAGTCTGCAATGAAGAACCTTCTGGCCCCCGCCGTACCCAGGGATCCCTTCCTTACCCAACGCAGACCCTTGGACCCCCTCTCTGAGCAAGGCGCCGTCAGTGCTATATACGTTGATAACTTTGCGTCTCTCTCGCTTTCGGCCGCGCGCTCGAGTGACGGGCTTGCGCGCATGCTGTCCGCCGTGAAAAGTGCTGGTCTCGACGCTGACGCGGAGCCCGACGGCGCCCCCTTTCTTGGGCACTGCTTGGATGAGTCTGGGTCGTCTTGGGTCCCTTCGGGGCGTAAGTTTCGGAGGATTTCCCTGGCTTTGAAGGCGGTCTTTCAGGGCAGGGTTCGTCGGACTGGACGTCCGATCGCTCGTCTTGTAGGGCATGTGTCGGCTGTATTTCAGCTTCGCCCCGAGCTGCTCTCCATCTTTTCGGCAGCTTACACCTTTAGTACACGTTTTCGGGACCGACCTTCGTGGGTCTGGAGCTCGGTTAGACACGAATGTTGGCTGGCATGGGCTCTCCTTCCCACGGCTGTTGCTCGGCTGGATACTCCCTGGAGCTCCGAGGTGACCTCAGTGGATGCTTCACTTCACGGGTTCGGCGTCACGGCGTGCCGGATCGAGTCTAGCAGTGTCGGCAAGGTCGGGCGAGTCAGCGAACGTTGCCGATTTCGTGGAGAGCTGCGAAAGTGCTCCAGTCCGCGGGACTTCCTGGAAGATGTGGAGGTGCCCTTCTCGTTCCTCGCTCGTGGGTCCGATCTCGACTTCTTGGAGACTGGTGCTCTGACGGAGTTCCCTGAAGTTCCCGAGCGGCTTGCCAAGGACCCCCCCTGGTGTGTCATTGCTGCGAGGAGGTGGAGGAGGAAGGAGAAGATCTTGAACCTGGAGGCGGAGGCGGCCCTGTGGGCTGCACGGCGTATCAGTCGTGACAAGCGTCTGGGAGACCACCGTCACCTCATCCTCAGCGACTCGATGGCCTGGGTATGTGCCGCCACGAAAGGGAGGGGGAGCTTTTGGTTCCTCCTACGTCGGTGTCGCGAGTTGTGTGCGCTCGCCGTTGCCCCAGGATGCCGCTTTGTTTATCGATGGATCCCCTCAGAGTGGAACAGCGCCGATGCCCCGAGCCGAAGGTACGACCCTGTCAGCGAGCATCATGCCAAGCACTCCTATGTCAGTAACCCTGGTGGCTCGGAGTGCTCTCCGAGCCACGACGCGCCCACCCCGCCTTCGAAGTCTCTGGAGGCGGTCATCGGCGATGGAGTGCCGCACCCTCCGGGCCTCCGACGCCTCGCGGCCGCGGTCCCGTTCGCCTACGGCTTGCCGGGGCCCTGGGAG